TAGTCAAGGTTCCAGTTAGCGGGTGCCAACTGGGACCTTGGTCTAGGGTACCTGGTTCTGCGGTTGCGAGGCCTCTCGTCCGGATCGTAGTCCATGAGGAATCGTAGCTGCTCGTTCGGGTGGTCCTGAGCTTTCTCGAAGGTCTTCTCCGCTTTTTTCCTCATGTACTCGTGGATGGTGTCCCAATGCAGGTCTCTACGCAAGGTAGAGTTTCTTACGTAGGATGGTGCACTGGTGGCGATCCGGAGTAGCTTCATCTCTAGAGCAGCAAGTCGCTTGCGGTAGCTGGGGGCAGCGTACCCCCAGACCGCGGAGGCGTAAGCGAGCTGAGGTCTGGCGATGGCCTTGATCAGCCGTAGCTTGGTCGCTAGCGGCATCCGGCTGTGTCTACCCAGTAATGGGTAGAGTTGAGCCATGGCTGCTCTGGTCTTTGCGATGACAGCTTCTATGTGGGCTTTCCAGGTGAGAGACTTGTCAAATACGATCCCCAGATATTTGACTTTGTCGCTCCACTGTATATCTTCGTCGAAGATGGATGCTTCGAGAGGTCTTGCAATCCTTCTTCGTTGAATGAAGATTGCCTGCGTCTTCTGGACGTTGATGCGGATTTTCCATTTCACGCACCAGTCCTGAATGTGGTCCAGTTCATCCTGTAGTCTCCTACGGATGATCTCGGGTCGTCTATGCTTGGCGGCTATAGCAGTGTCGTCTGCATATAGGGCCAGCATTGTGTCAGCTGTCTTCGGCACATCGTGAGTATAGATGTTGTAGAGCAGGGGGGCTAAGGCTGACCCCTGGGGCACGCCTGCTTCCAGCTGTCGTCTTGTTGAATGGCATGTACCAATCTTCACCGTGAACCATCTTTGTGTTAGATAGCGCTGGATCAGTTGGCACATGTTCGCATCGATTTCGGCGGCTTCCATTTTGGCGATGAGTTCATCGTGCCAAACTCGGTCGAAGGCTCGTTCCACGTCCAGCAGGACGAGACCGGTTGCCTCCTGGAGATTGAAGCCGCTGGTGATGTTTTCTGTCAGTCGTAGCGCTTGGAGTTCCGTGTTGTGGGAGGATCTGAAGCCGAATTGCTCTGGGGGGAGAAGTTGCAGTTCTTCTGCCTGCTTCTCTAGTCAAACGGCGATAGCCTTTTCGACTACTTTGCCCATCGACGAAACCAGGCTGATGGGCCGGTAGTTCTGGGGCAACTTCCGGTCCTTGCCTGGCTTGGTGAGCATTATAACCTGGGCTTCCCGCCACCGCCGCGGGAAGTGTTTAAGTCTCACACTGGCATTGGCGATGTTGGTGAGCGCAGCAATGCCTTTGGTGGGAAGGTTTTTCAGCATCCTGTTGTTGATGCCGTCCCTTCCCGGCGCCTTTCTGACCTTCAACCTGCTGATGATCAGACGGATTTCCTCTGGACTGGAGGGATGATCCGTCTCCTGGCCAGGTGGTTGACTCCTCATGATTTCGGCTGCGACTTCCACGGCCTCCTCGTGGTTGTCGTCCTCGTCTTCATGGTAATTGAGTCTGCATTCGGATTCTAGCGAATCGGCGAATGCTTCGGCTTTTTCTTCACTGGAGTAGGCCAAGCCGCGTTGGCCGTGAAGAGTGGGGATCGTGGTGCGCTGACGACGAAATTTTCGCTGCATAGTCCAGGGCGTACCATCCTGGGTCTCTAGTTCTGCACAGGCTGCATTCCATATGCTGTTTTGGAGTTCCGCGAGTGCGTCCTTCAGAGCTAGCGATGCTCTATTTCGCGCAACTCTCGACTCCTCTGTCAACAGTTGGAGATTTTCTCGCTTGAGTCTTCTGTTCTCCCTAATCAGGTGCCTGATATGGTGCGGTGCTGGACCATTTAGGTGTCTAGGAACTGCCGTAGTCTCGGAGCGGATGCTGTCCTCGTGCGCTCGCAGGACAGCATTCTCCAGCTCCTCTACTGCGTTGTCCAGTTCCTCCGCTGATCGGATGGTTGGAATTTGAGTGATGTTCCTTTGGACGTTGGATTTGTACAGGTTCCAGTTCGTCCGTTTGGTGCTCAAGCTATCTCGAGTTCTAGACCCTGTGCCAAGTGTTAGTAGAATCGGATTGTGGTCCGACGATCCTTCCACCAGGGTCTCTATCTCGAACTCCTCTCTGATGTTGCGGAGGATGTCTATGTCCAGTACCGCAGGTCGCCCAAGGCCGAATGGAATGTAGGTTGGTTGCTCCGGACCGACGATGAACCCCGCCAGGGCATCGACGTGTTCTTGGAGCTGCCTTGCATTCCTGCCTTCGACGTTGTTGTTCCATGCCGGAGACTTGCAGTTTAGATCTCCGATGACTATGCGTGCTCCTGGGCCTCTCAGGAGGTCAGTGATGTCATCTTCATCTAGGGCCTCCCCTGGTGGCACATATAGGGAGGTGATTCTGTAGGGACGGTGGTTGTGATGGACCTGGACCGTGATTCCGTCCCCATTGATGTCTGCGGCATCGTCGAGGACATGACTCGTCAAGGTACGTTTGACGAGTAATGCGACTCCTCCACCTCTGCCTCTTCTGTCGTAGCGGTACGTTTCGTACCGCGGGAACGTCAGACTATGGGCAGCATCCAATTTCGTTTCTTGGATGGCCATCACCTCTGGTTGGTACCGGTCTAGTATCTCCTGGATTTCTGGTTTCCGTCCCCTGAATCCGTTGATGTTCCAGGAGATAATGCGTAGAGATTTTACGTTTACCCTGTAGTCGTTGCCCTGTTGGCGGCGCTGGCAGACTACAGCTGGTGCTGCTGTGGTCCTCTCCACACTTAACGCACCGTTCAGCGAGACGGCAGTTCCGCTGTGTGTGGTGTGTGCCCGTACCGCTGGCAGCGGTAACACTGGCTGGGCTCGGTGGACTTTTTCTTCCTCTCGAAGCTGACCGTGAGCATGGTCAGCCTCTGGATCTCTGCAAGCTTTTCCGGCATCTTCGTCTTGACGAGGAAGAGCGGAAGTGGCATCTTGGTGGTCCTTGAGGTCATCTGCTGAACCTCGGCGTCTGCGATGCCTTGGCTCATATCGCACGATCAAATACAGGTCCGCACTTAAATACTTTATAAAACAAGGCAACATTTTTTTTATTTTTTTTTATTTTTACACACATATTTTGGTTTATCTTCCTTCTACAATCATTATCCTTCTACAATCATTATCTGAAAATTAATGACTCAACTTCAAAGTATATACGAATTTATATTTTGAGCCTAACAATACAAAGAACTAATTGGTCACTGAAAATCACTGCTATTTTTTGAAATATTCCCCATTATGATTACTTCTCCATGCGTTAGAATCATTTTCATATCACGATTTCCACACTGCTTGAGGTATCTTCCAAAAGGTGCTTTATCAATGCATCAACAGCGTCTTTTGTCGACGAAAATCGTTCACGCAATATATTATTGACGTACGGGAACAAAAAGGAGTAGCTGGGTGCCAAATCAGGAGTGCATGGAAGATGATCCATTAAATGATTGATTTGAGTGCTCAAATACCGAATTGTTTCACGATAAACGTGCGAGCTTGCATTGTCTTGATGAAGAATGGTCTGACGGCGCTTCTTGCTATTTCTTATTGCGTTTAAGAGTTTCGGCAAACAAATGGTTTTCTACCGTTCAGAAATCAACTGTTCTACGTTCCTCTATAGGTACTGTTGTTGCCATATGACCAGTTGTTCCGAAAAGAAAATAGGCGACCATTTGTTTCACAGTGCTTCGTGCGCAACGAGATTTTGTCGGCTTATTTAGTCTTGAAACACCCGCACAGTCGACTGCTTTTTCCTTTTGCTTATGGCACGTCTGGTGCAGCACCACCGTTGAATTTTTCGAGAATCCGTAATACGACCTCTTCTCGACCTTTTGTTAGATTATGTGATATCCAACGAAAACACACCTATTTGACAGCTAATTTTATGTATGCTAGTGGAACTAATGTATAAGGCTGCCTCAAACTGACGATATGCCATATTATGTATCTTGTTTTATTCCCTTTTCCACAGCATCAATGTTTTCTGACACACTAGCTGGTTTTGGACGACCTACACGACTTGCGTCACCAAAAGAATGGCGGCCACAATTAGATTCGTTGTATCAGCGTTTTACGGTAGCAAAGTATGTTGTTTCATTAACAAAAATCGAATATCAACAACACAAATCGTGCTCAAATGACAAACCGATCTGAAGTATGTTAAAAATCTCCTTTAATCGGAAATGTCAGATGTATCCTAAGCGCACTTAGTGTTGCCGAGGCTCAAAATATAAATAGTGACCCTCGTATGCATGGATTTTGGGTCGTCGTTAGTACCGAGCTAGCAGCCGTTGCGAGTGTACACTTGTGCGACTGCGACCCACCCGGACTTACTGTGCGATCTTATTGCGATTTTCATCTAAAGCAGAAAGAAGATGCTTTCACCATGCTTGCAGAGCAGATGAAGAACCTGCAAGAAGCTTTCATGCAGGCAAAACAGGAGATAGAGGAAGTCAAAGGGAAGCTCCTCAAGGCGAAGAGGAAGGCGAAGAAGACCCTAGCAGAAGAAGAAGACGAGGACCGGCAGACCACATCGGACAATGAGATGGATGCCCAAGAAGTGGACAGCCAGCAACACGACGACACTGAAGAACAGAAGAGGTCAGCCGACAAGAGCGATACGGACTACAGTGTGGTCACCAGGCGGAAGAAAAGAGTAAGGGTTTCCTCCTCCGACGAAGACGATGCACCCAGGCAGCCAACGAAGCCAGCTGCCACCCAGAAGAAGAGTCCTAGAGAAGCCAGGACCATCGTAGCCCCCAGGTCAGGAACAGAAGTTCCACCAAACAACATTGAGGGCACCGCTGCTTGGTCATCCTTAAGCAGGACGATCAATAATAGGGGAATCCAATTCTCTAAGGCGAGGGCGGCGAGGAACAGTGTGAAGATGTTTACCAACACACCCGCAGACTACCGGCAACTAGTTACCCTGCTAGACTCTTCACCTACCAGCTGAAGGAGGATAAGATGGACCAGAGGGTGATAGGAGGACTTACCAGGGAGATGTCTACCGAAGACATCAAAGAAGATCTAGTGAACCAAGGGATCGCAGACGCCGAGGTTCAACAGATGAAGACCAGGAACACCAAGGATGGCGGAAAAGCTGCAGGAGGTCCAGAGGCTGGCCATGCTTACGGTCAGCTTCGAGAAGAAAAAGAGATCGACCGAGCCCAGCCAATGCTACCGCTGCCAGCGGTACGGGCACACGCAGCGAAACTGCCGTCTCGCTGAACGGTGCGTCAAGTGTGGTGAGGACCACAACAGCACCAACTGCAGTCTGCCGACGCCGCAAACAGGGCAACGAAATGCCAATTGCTGCCATTGCGGAGGAGGACACCCAGCCAACTACAAAGGATGGAGTAAGGCCCCGAGGAAAGCTGCTGCTGTCCCCAAAGCAGCCTCCACCTCAAATAGGACGTCTTACGCTGAAAAAACGAAGAAAACAAAGTCCACTTCTGCCCCAGCAGCCGCTACTGCTACTGGAACTAGTGCGCAGAAGCAACACGGCGATGACAGACTGCTAGCTATGATGCAAGCCATCATAACCGGCCTGGATGCACTCGAGGCCAAGATGCAAGACAAGCATTAGACCAGCAATGACTACAGGGCAAAACGTGCAATCACTACGCGGAAACCAGAAATCCAGGAGATACTAGACCATTACCAACCAGAGGTGATGGCCGTCCAAGAAACTAAATTGGATGCTGCCCATAGACTGACGTTCTCGCGGTACAAGACGTACTGTTACGACAGAAGAGGCAGAGGTGGAGGAGTCGCACTACTCGTCAAACGTACCCTGACGAGTCATGTCCTCGACGACACCGCAGACATCAATGGGGACCGAATCACGGTCACCGTCCCTACATAATCACCTCCCTGTATGTGCCACCAGGGGAGGCCCTAGACGAAGATGACATCGCTGAGCTGACCTCCTATGAGGCCCAGGAGCACGCATAGTCATCGGAGATCTAAACTGCAAGTCTCCGGCATGGAACAACAACGTCGAAGGCAGGAATGCAAGGCAGCTCCAAGAACACGTCGATGCCCTGGCGCGGTCATCGTCGGTCCGGAGCAACCAACCAACATTCCATTCGGCATCAGATCGGCGGAGGAACTGGACAACGCGGTAGAGGAGCTGGAGAATGCTGTCCTGCGAGCGCACGAGGTCAGCACCCACTCCGAGACTACGGCAGTTCCAAGACACCTAAATGGTCCAGCACCGCACCATATTAAGGCGAGAATACACATGCTTGTTACACGCACAGAAGCATGCCAGTTACTGGATTGTGCGTGCTACTTGCATGTGTGACTTTCTCTGCCAGCAAGAAGGCATGCTAGAAGATAGCACGCCAGTAGATCGCAAGACGTTTGATTTTTGTGTGCCAGTAGCAGGGTTTCGTCGAGGGAATGGAGGGGAGGAAACATGCGAGTCATGTTCAAAGGTGTGTGAACGACATCGTTACCAGAAACTCGCATGTGAAAAGCGGATTTTTGAACTATAGAACTATTTGTTTAGTTCAGGGCAAAATGGCTCGTTGGGGAGACGAAAAGACTTTATTGTTTGTTATGCAGTATAGGGAGTATCCGTGTTTATGGAATACATGATCTCCATTGTATAAAAATAAAATCGCTAGAAACAATGCTTACAAGTCTTTATTGAAGCAAATGACTGATAACAATTTAACATTGAAATTTATGAAAAATAAGATAAAAAACCTAAGAACAACCTACCACCAAGAGATAAAGAAGATAATGGAAAGTTTTCACAGACTGGCATATCCAAAACTAGCATGTGTATTTTGGGATGTCGTAGGACAAGTAGTTAGCATACAAGTTACTGGCCACTGGCATGCTATTTTACTGGCATGTGTATTCTCTGATCAGGGAGAACAGAAGACTCAAGCGAGTAGATCTCCAGCTGTTGACAGAGGAGTCGAGGATTGCGCGAAACAGAGCATCGCTAGCTCTGAAGAACGCACTCGCGGAACTCCAAAACGGCAGATGGAATGCAGCCTGCGCGGAACTAGACACCCAGGATGGTACGGCCTTGACTATGCACCGAAAATTTCGTCGTCAGCACAACACGATCCCCACACTTCACGGCCAACGCGGCTTGGCCTAATCCAGCGAAGAAAAAGCCGATGGATTCGCCGATTCGCTAGAATCCGAATTCAGGCCCAATTACCATGAAGACGAGATCGACAACCACGAGGAGGCCATGGAAGTTGCAGCCGAAATCATGAGGAGACAACCACCTGGCCAGGAGACGGATCACCCCTCCAGTCCAGAGGAAATCCGCCTGATCATCCGCAGGTTGATGGTCAGAAAGGCGCCGGGAAGGGACGGCATCAACAACAGGATGCTGAAGAACCTTCCCTCCAAAATATCACCAATGACTTCAATCTCCAGGAGGCAACCGGCCTTGTCCTGCTGGACGTGGAACGAGCCTTCGACCTAGTTTGGCACGATGGACTCATCGCCAAAATGGAAGCCGCCGGAATCGATGCAAACATGTGTCAACTGATCCAGAGCTATCTAACACAAAGATGGTTCACGGTGAAGATTGGTACATGCCACTCAACTAGACGACAGCTGGAAGCAGGCGTGCCCCAGGGATCAGCCTTAGCCCCCCTGCTCTACAACATCTACACTCACGACGTACCGAAGACAGCTTTCACAATGCTGGCCCTATATGCAGACGACACTGCTATAGCCGCCAAGCATCGACGACCCGAGATCATCCGTAGGAGACTACAGGATGATCTGGACCACATCCAGGACTGGTGCGTGAAATGGGAAATCCGCATCAACGTCCAGAAGACGCAGGCAATCTTTATCCAATGAAGAAGGATTGCAAGACCTCTCGAAGCATCCATCTTCGACGAAGATATCCAGTGGAGCGACAAAGTCAAATATCTGGGGATCGTATTTGAAAAGTCCCTCACCTGGAAAGATCACATAGAAGCTGTCATCGCAAAGACCAGAGCAGCCATGGCCCAACTCTACCCATTACTGGGTAGACACAGCCGGATGCCACTAGCGACCAAGCTACGGCTGATCAAGGCCATCGCCAGAAATCAGCTCGCTTACGCCTCCGTGGTCTGGGGGTACGCTGCTCCCAGCTACCGCAAGCGACTTGCTGCTCTAGAGATGAAACTACTCCGGATCGCCACCAGTACACCATCCTACCTAAGAAACTCAACCTTGCGTAGAGATCTGCATTGGGACACCATTCACGAGTTCATGAGGAAAAAAGCGGAGAAAACCTCCCAGAAAGCTCAGGACCACCCGAACGAGCAGCTACGACTCCTCATGGACTACGATCCGGACGAGAGGCCTCGCAACTGCAGAGCCAAGTACCCTAATCCCAAGTCACAGTTGGCAGGCGCTAACTGGAACGTTGACTAGGAGAACTCGCGGTTGCTCCCCCCCACGGCGAGGAAGCAGAGGACGAGGATCAGGGCGACCAGGACGAGAACCCATGTGGACCGGGACCCACCAGGACCAGGACCCATCAGAACCAGGACCAACCAAGACCAGGACCCATTAGGACCAGGTAACAAACAAGTAGTAGAGGACTTGAAACTCTTGATTTTTCGAAAACAAGAGTTTCAAGAGAACATAGCAAACCCTCTATCGATGCTCGCTTAACAACATCGATAGAACTGTGCAAGGTAAAGGGAACCAACCCTGCGTTCCCATAGACTGAAACACATGAGGAGACGTTGTAGCAGACCGCAGGTCATGCACAACACATGGCCTACCGAGACGCTGATGAGTCGGGCCACGCGGAGGTTAGGGTTTAGTGGGTATTAGGTGGTCTCATCAAGACAACCTGGAGTCCCACACACGCCGCAGCTCGGGCTATGGTATGGTGCATAAACGCATTCCCCCCTCACAAAAAAAAAGTATTTTGAGGGAACATACAGGACGTTACTTAATGAAATAAGGGTGCATTCCTGAACTAAATTTTACTAGAAAAGCTCATATAAGCATGCCTCCTAAAAGTCTGGTTTTTGAGATACAGGTTGTCAAAGGTTCAAAAAAACTTGTTCTTCTATTAGTCAATAAATCTCATAGATCTTTGTGTCGATTATGTTGGGCTTATTGCAATCAGTTGTTAAATTGGCGCTAACTAAAAGATAACTATCAACTCCAGTGACGTCTAGGAGAGCGATGAAATTGACAAAAAAACGCCGAAGCAGCTGCGCATGCAAAGTCTAAACACCAAGGCTGATAGGAGGTGCTTAAAAAAACTTTGCCGTCCGATTTTATAACTGCGTAAGGTTAGTAGCGCTGGTAACAGGCTCCCCAAGAAGATTGTTCCACAATCTCGATACCCTAGCGACAAAGGAGCGGTCGTATCGGCCAGTTCAGGGTGTACGATGTTTGACACGGTTAGGATGGTAGGCCGAAGTCAGGCGGGCCCATCTGGCAACCCAGCGAGCTAAAACGACCGACTCTTTAGTCGCCGCTATATATCGAAATCGTATAAGCGCTAGGACGCTTCTTGTTAGTCAAGGTGTGTCAAGATTGTTTCAAGTGTGTTTCGGAAACATCAAAGTGTACCACATTGTTGCGACCTCAAGCAGCGATAGTCTCCAGTTCACTCGTTAGGTAGGAATTCGCTGGTAGTCTTCTTTTCTTCAGCTCGCCGACAGAGATCGGCTTGTTGTACAGAATAGGAGATTTGTGAAATGCCGGAGCCAAGACCGATCTCTGGGAAACACCTGTGTTGACATTGTGGGATGAAGAGAAAATCACGTTAACCTTTGACAAGCTTTGAAGTTCCAGGTACTCCAGAAGCTCCAGACTTATGCACCTTTCCATCACCACTTATAACAGCAAGCAGAGCTATAGGCCCATAGTTGTGGTGGTCAGTACTAGATTTGGGATGGATTGGACATGAGCAAGTTTCCAGTTTTCTGGGGAAGTGCCCGATTCGTACAATATCTAGAAGAGATGCGAAAGAGCTGGAGCAAGCTCCGCGGAAAATCTCTTCAGTAATACGAGAGGAACTTGAATTTGAGTTAGAAATGTGCTCTTATAATTACGACCTATCATTAAGTAACACCGTATTGAGAACATTTGAGCACTTGGTTATGGCAAGTTATGTTCCGTCCTCGTCGAAGTAAATATTTAAAATACGTATCGCAGTACCCTCGTAATAGTACCCAATTCCCATGATTTCAAAGCGTGCACGCAGCGAAGGAAAGCGGCATCGCGCTCCT